TGTTTTTTTTTTTTTACATACCGTCACCTTAGCAGTACAGTGTCACCATGGTGACACTGTACTACTTGTGGGGGGTGATGAAGATTTTTTTTTTTTTTTTTACAGTGATTGCTTTTACACCCATAAAGGATGTAAAAGCAATCATTTCTCTTTCTCTCTGTCTGCATTCTTGCAGCCATTGAGAAATACTATGTGAGCTGTGATTGGTCACATCTTGTCACATGGTACAAGGCTGTTGTGAATAGCCTTGTACCATGTGACCTCTGTGATCATTCACAGATTTCACACGTAGTAAGCAATGATGTCACAAGTGACATCTTGCTTACTACTTTGCATGTGATGACTGATTGGCCAATCAGTGATCACATGATCGGGACCTCGTACAGAGGTCCCGTCCGACGATTGGTGTTTCACTGTGTCCGGAGGACACATCGGGCACCGGATCGCGGTGCTGCGCGCTCCCAGGGAGCGCGCACAACTAGAAATAGCGGGTGCCGTTTATGAACAGCAACCCGCCCCTGGAGTGCCACCGCCCTGCCGTTTAAAAACAGCAGGCGGACGGCAAGTGGGTAACCTCACCACTCTGTAACATACACTCCCTACTCCTCCTTTTCAAAGTTGTATCCTCTCTTTTCACGCTCTTTTTCCTTCACCCCTCTTCTCCATCCCCACAACTTATATATAATCACCCTCACTCCTGTCTTCATCCTATTATGCACTCATCAACCTGTAATAAACTCCACATACTTTGCAGAGGTCATCTTTACACCTTTGGGGACCCTAAAGGGGCTGACCTGCTCTGTTCCCATGATTCTGGTCCAAAACATGACTCCACCACCGCCTTGCTGACGTCGCAGCCTTGTTGGAATAGGGTGGCCGACCACCAACCATCCACTACTCTATCCATCTGGACCATCCAGGGTTGCACGGCACTCATCAGTGAACAGGACTGTTTGAAAATTAGTCTTCATGTATTTTTCTGCCCAATGCAGCCATTTCTGCTTGTGAGCATTGGTTATTGGTGGCCGAATAGAAGGTTTATGCACAGTTGCAAGACTCTGGAGGACTCTACACCTTGATGTCCGTGGAACTCCAGAGGCACCAGCAGCTTCAAATATCTGTTTGCTGCTATGTAATGGTATTTTAGCAGCTGCTCTCTTGATCCCATGCAGGATCTGGCAGAAATCTTCCTCAATGTGCCCGAACTGTGCTCTGAATCAGCCACAAATCTCTTAATAGTGCTATGATCACGCTTAAGTTTTTGTGAAATATCGAATGTTTTCATACCTCGTCCAAGGCATTGAACTATTTCACTCTTTTTGGCAGCAGAAAGATCCTTTTTCTTCCCCACATTGCTTGAAAATGGTGCTCTGCTTAATAATGTGGAACACCCTCCTTTAGTAAGTTTTTCCTTAACCAATTTCAATACCAGGCAATTTTACACCTTCCTGCCCAGGCCATTTTTCAGGTTTCAGCGCTCTCATACTTTGAATGACAATTGCGCGGTCATACAACACATTGTACCCAAACTAAAATTTTATCATTTTCTTCACACAACTAGAGCTTTCTTTTGGTGGTATTTAATCAACGCTGGGGTTTTTATTTTTTGCTAAATTAACAAAAAAAACCACAAATTTTGAAAAAAAAAAACACGTTTTTCTTAGTTTCTGTTATAAAAGTTTGCAAATAAATAATTGTTCTTCATAAATTTAGGCCGAGATGTATTCTGCTACATGTCTTTGGTGAAAATAGCCCAAATTAGGATGTATTATTTAGTTTGTAGGAAAGTTATAGAGTTCACAAACTATGGTATAGATCTGAATATTGATCAATCCTGAAACACTGACAGCCAATCTAATTTCTTGAGGTCCAAGAATGTCAGAACAGTACAGATATCCCCAAATGACCACTTTTTGCAAAGTAGACAGTCCGACGTACTTCATAAGAGGCATGGTGAGTTTTTTGAAGTTTTATTTTTTTTGTCATAATTTTACGGAAAATGAAAAAAAAAAAAATTTCACTATTTTTTTTTTTTACATACTGTCACCAGTGCAGTACAGCGTCATCATATAACTGGCATGGCGGTGATCAGGGACACTGACTGGTGACAGTGTGAAAAAAAAATATACTTTTTTTTATTTTAAATTTTTTATTAAATTTTCTTTTTTTTTTTAAGATTTTTTTTTTCATATTTCACTATGTCCAAAGTAGTACAATGTTACCATAGTAACATTGTACTTACTTTGGGGGAAGTGGTCAGTATTTTTTTTTTTTTTTTTTTTTTTACACAATTTGCTTATAGCAAAGAATTACTTTGCTATAAGTAAGCATTTACCTGAATGACATCGATTCATTCAGGGTTTTTTTTTTTTTTTTGTGCTTAGCTGTGATTTGGCCACAGCTAATCACATGACATGTGCATGTGATTAGCTGTGACCATTCACAGCTAGACACTAGTATACAATGGATGGCATGAATGAAGCCATCCACTGTATACAACTGTCATGTGACCTGCTGTGATTGGTCACAGAAGGTCACATGGTACCGGCAACGGGGGCCGGCACTCAGATCTGTCATCGGCCGTGTGCGAGGTACACGGCCAGGTGACAGATCGTGCCGCTGCGCGGTTCTGCAAGCACGCAAACTGCGCATGTGCGGGAGGACGCCATATGGCGGCCTCCCGGAAAGCTAATACATTTGTGCGGGATGCCATTTGGCCATAGGCCGGGCGTCAAATGGTAAATTGGGCTCACCGGCCAATTCTAATTATCACTGGTGTCGAGATTGTTTTCAGTGATCAAAAGAGCCTGAGGCACAATGCCATCCATGAGTTAAAACTGAAAAAACAAAATATTTAATCTTTGTGACACTTAAATAGAATTTGCATAATAATTTGGAACACGGTGTATAACCAATTCTAGAAGGAGTACAACTTAGTCACCTGGTCAATAGCGGGGGGCTTTTTGAGTCTCTTGAGCTCTCCTTTGAACAGTTCTGTGAGGGAAGGACCTGATTTAGGCTGCGGAGATTCCGGAGTTGGAAGGCTAGTATGCACTGTATCGTTACCTATCTCACGTAGCAGAAAGCATATGGTGTGTCAGGAATGGACTCACCATTAGTGGTGGGACTCATCTGCCGTGTGGGCTGCAGTACCAGGACTTGCCAGCGGGTGCTTTCAGCAACCAGAAGCTCACTCCTGCAATCAGCCATCACTTGAGGCTGATTGCAGGAGGTGTATTTAAGGAATGGCCAGACCTGCAGTCAGTGCCTTGGTGTATGTTTCCCATGAGCCCTGTACCTGCATCCTGTCTGCTTTCTGCCTGATCCTGACTCTGCTTTGATCCTGACTCTGAACGAACTCCGCCTGTCCTGACCTCGGCTATCCTGACCACTCCTCCGCTCGCTCCTGGTACCGTTTTGCCACCGACCGGCCTGCTGCCCGACTACGTTTGATTTGTATATTATGGTTATCTGTTGGAGGTTTGGGTTGTTTGCACTGTGTTATGTTTACCTTGCACTGTGTTTGTGTTGTTTAGTCTTAATAAATTGTCTTATTTACTCTATACCTGAAAAGCCTGTGTTTCCCTGTGTCAGTCCACACACACCTCTGGTCATACCCGGAGCCCTGACATTACACCAAAGGCCATTCCTGACCAGAAGTGGCTTGCACAGGGATAGCCATCTTGGCTTGTTGTTGTGAAGGATGCATGCAGAGGAGGTTATATACTTGTGTCTGGTTGTCTTAGATGACAGAGAATATGCCTATGAGACTCTGCAGGAGTATACCAGGGATCAGCTGCTAGAATGCATACGGGTCGCTCATTCCCTAGTAGATCAGGGCACAGACTTCTCTTGAGGTGCAACCATTGATTCAGGCTTGTGTTGAGTTGGCTTCATCTAGTACCCCTGAAAGCAGGGATGACTTTCTTCCACATTCAGTGTGGATCAAATAGAATCACTGGTATGGTTGTTGGAGGATGATCGGATTGCTTCTGGGAACATTATTCAGCATGTTCACCACATGTGCTAGTGGAGTGTATAAACGCAGTACAGTCTTTGGTCAGACAGGCTATGTGTAAGCTGAGTTTTGTTCAACCCGATACTACAGTCCTGGTCAGACTTGTTACACCCAGCCTCAGTCAGGTTGCAACAAACCCGTCCTGCTTCTAATCATTCCTCTTGCTCAAAGCTCTATTCCTGCATTCCCGAAAGCACCCCAGTTTACAGCACAATATACCCTGCTATCTACCACATGTCAGCACCTTGTTCCCACTCGCTCCACCTACCCTGCCTTTAACCTGTAAAAAAGGCCCACTGTAACAAACTATTCCCTCCTCTGTTCCACCCTCAAGCTCTTCTCTGTCCCCAGCTATTCCATCCATTTACAGACCTGCATTTACTTGCAGTGCCCCAGTAACTAAACCCAAGAAGAAGCGAAAATTCTTTCCAACCAGTACCATCCTACCAGTATCCAAACCGGTCAGCCTGCTGTCTGAGATCCCGCCTTCCGTTGTTCAGCCTGGTGCCCTGATGCCTGATGACCCAGTGTACGCTACCCGGCCTGATGACCGATCCGGCCTGATGATCCTATCAAGCATGATGACCTTGTGCCCGCTACCCAGCCCTGATGGCCCGATCCAGCCTGATGGCCCGGTGTTTCGTGATCCAGCCTGTTGGCCCGGATCCAGCCTGATGACCCGATCCAGCTTGATGACCTGGTGCCCGCTACCCAGCCTGATGGCCCGGTGTTCACGATCCAGCCTGATGACCCAAATCCAGCCTGAAGACCCGGTCCAGCCTGAAGACCCGGTCCAGCCTGGTGCCTGTTGTCCGGCCTGGTGCCTCGGTGCCATAGTCCAGCCAGATGACTCGGTGCCCGTTGTCGAGCTTGGTGACTCGGTGCCCGCTCTCCTGCCAGATGACTCGGTGCCCGCCCTCCTGCCAGATGACTCGGTGCCCGCCCCTCCTGCCAGATGACTCGGTGCCCGCCCTCCTGCCAGATGACTCGGTGCCCGCCCTCCTGCCAGATGACTCGGTGCCCGCCCTCCTGCCAGATGACTCGGTGCCCACTGTCGAGCTTGGTGACCCGATGCACGCGGTTCTGCTAGATAGCTCCGTGCCCGCTGCCGTGCAGGTGACTCGGTGCCCGCTGCCGTGCCAGGTGACTTGGTGCCCGCTGCCGTGCCAGGTGACTCGGTGCCCGCTGTTCTGCTAGATGGCCCGGTGCCTGCTGCCTCGCCTGACGGGCTGGTGCCTGCTGCTCCGCTTGATGGCCCGATGCCTGCTGCCAGCCTGATGTGCCTCCGTCCGCTGCCCAGCCTGATGTGCCTCCGTCCGCTGCCCAGCCTGATGTGCCTCCGTCCGCTGCCCAGCCTGATGTGCCTCCGTCCGCTGCCCAGCCTGATGTGCCTCCGTCGCTGCCCAGCCTGATGTGCCCCAGCCTGATGTGCGTCCGCTGCCCAGCCTGATGTGCCTCCGCTCGCTGCCCAGCCTGATGTGCCTCCGCTCGCTGCCCAGCCTGATGTGCCAGCCCCTGATGTCCAGCTAAATTGGCCAGTAACTGATTCCCAGCCTGCTCCGGGAGATCCTGTGTCCAGTAACCTGCCTTCCTGGGTTCTCCTACACAAGGAGAATTCTACCAGCAGGAAACCCAGCCAGCCGGTTGACTCCGGCAATAGGATATCCAGCCAGTTACCTGACCCGGGCGGCGGAACATTTTGCCCACGAAGGACTGTTTGGAGCGTCCTGAGGCCGCTCCTTGAGGGGGGGGGGGGGGTACTGTCAGGAATGGACTCACCATTAGTGGTGGGACTCATCTGTCGTGTGGGCCGCAGTACCAGGGCTGGCCAGCAGGTGCTTTCAGCAACCAGAAGCTCACTCCTGCAATCAGCCATCACCTGAGGCTGATTGCAGGAGGTGTATTTAAGGAATGGCCAGACCTGCAGTCAGTGCCTTGGTGTATGTTTCCCATGAGCCCTGTACCTGCATCCTGTCTGCTTCCTGCCTGATCCTGACTCGGCTTTGATCCTGACGCTGAACGAACTCCGCCTGTCCTGACCTCGGCTATTCCTGACCACTCCTCCGCTCGCTCCTGGTACCCTGTTTGCTACCGACCCGGCCTGCCCGACTACGTTTGATTTGTATAAATGGTTATCTGTTGGAGGTTTGGGTTGTTTGCACTGTGTTATGTTTACCTTGCACTGCGTTTGTGTTGTTTAGTCTTAATAAATTGTCTTATTTACACTATACCTGAAGCCTGTGTTTCCCTGTGTCAGTCCACACACCTCTGGTCATACCCGGATCCCTGGCATGGTGTGATGCCTTGGCTTATGTCTCATAGCATGCAGGAGGTGAAAATTCCTTAGCAAGATCCTCTTCAGCGCCTACCTTTCCTTCCCCAATATCTTCTTCAAAGAACTTAGGAGGTTCAGGTTTATAGTCCTGAATAGAATTAGGTGGTGGAGAGGCAAAAGAGAGCTTCTGGGTCCTGTAGAGAAAATGGTTCTAGAAGGGCACAGAGTTTTCCAAAATAAATCAGACATGGAAGCATTGAAATTGGCCTTAGTCAGATAGGCCATCTTTTGCAGGAATAAGAGGGAGCTAGAATTAGAGGAAGGTTGCTGTGTCAGTCAGCTTGAGCGCTTAGGTGTTTTTTACGCTCTTTTTTCTTAGCTCTGTGCTTTGTCACCACCATTGCTAAATGATGGGATCGCCTGTGGGGTATTCACAAAAAGGATGCGCACTGAGAAGGTATTTGCATGTCCAGGAAATAACCCAGGTGCTAACCAAACACCTGTTGCTGTGCCTCCAGAAAAACAGGCAATCAGGAGATCAGGTGAAAGGCATAGTGCAACAACAATTACCACCCAAGCAACAATGCTGAATGGAAAAAACCCACGAGAATTAAAAAGGTAAACGTTATAAAAAAGTTATCTACCATCAACATAATAGAGACTTTTACAGAAGGGGATAACGCACCGCAAATAAAATCAGGACTTGGTCATCAATTAGGAAAACCCTGACTTACCTTATGCATGTTGCAGGTTCCCAGAGGGAACCAAACTTCACCCATCATGATGAGCATACCCTCAAGGCTGTCTTCAGGGTCTGGGTGCCTTAGGATTGGAACACGGTCATGGACCGTATAGAACCCTACTGTTACACGCATTGCACCACAAAATATTTATTCTATTGTGTCAGTCTTTGAATAAGGCTAATTTGTTAGAGCCCTAATAATATAAAAAATAAGCCTAACAGTGCTCAAAGAAGCGTAACGGGAAGCTTTATAAAAATAATGGCACCAGGGACCTGAAGATCGGTGAAGAACCAGGCCGGGTGAGGACAGCACTGGATTCCTGGACAGGCATCCTTTTTTTAAAAGCTTCTCTTTAATTACAAAGAAAAGGAAATCAATAACAAGTACATAAATAGATCTATATAATGTGTGTAAGAAAAGAACAAACATGATATCTTAGATAGTAAGGGAGGTGGAGGGAGAGAGAAAATATTGGCAGATTGCCCTTTTTATCAAATAAAAGACCCCTCTTTAGGTTTTCATTCCACCCCTGAATGATCTCTTGTTCAATCTGCATATTTCTTTACATTATTATTATACAGGATTTTTATAGTGCCAACAGTTTGCTCAGCGCTTTACAATATAAGAGGAGACAAAACAGCAACAATACAGTTCAATACAAGAGGGTTAGGAGGGCCCTGCTCCTTGGAGCTTACAATCTAAGAGATTCTACCACAATTGTTGATCTCCTCCGGCAGATGGTGATGTCACACTGTAGGCAAGCTCTCTGACATAGGTCAGTCACAGGCCACAGCCTGACCATTGATTTCAATGTGATTTACAGCTCATCAGATGTTATCCCTTTCAGTCCTGCATTCTGCAGCGGTCAGATGGCTGTTAACCAAACAGCGTAGCTATACATAAAAATGCCGGATATGGATATGGAAAATGTTACCCAGTCCAACACACCACATTCCAAGGTAAGTGCTGAATGGAGATCGAGCGCCCAAAAAAAAAATATTACAGGCTGGGGTCTGGGTACAATTCCCAAGATATACATCAAGAGTTATTTGAACCAGAAACTACTAGCGAGTCTTGAGGCAATAATCAGTTGAATCTTGATAGAAATGTCAGTCGAAGAAAAAAATACAGAATGGTTTAGAAAAACTTCTCCTTCGGAGAAGAGATCCATTACATAAGGACACTAGCAAAAACATGGAGATGGCGGGAACAAAGGGACCTGGGGGTTAGAGTAGTTACCCAAGTGATAGCAGAGAAAGGTGCTAAGGGACTTGCCAGGAAACCATGTCAAGTCTGCACTTGCATCCAATCTCATCTCAAGATGGTGGCACAGGAGCAGAGAGGCACAAGGAGAACTTTGCCTGCGCGAAGACAACGCTAGACTTTTTTTCTTTCATACAGGGACAAGTGTTAGGGATTTTACATTTATGGCTAGGGTGGGGCAAAATTCCTCTTTAAACTAATAAAATCTTTGTAAAAGTATACATGTAATTTTCATCTTTTTAGCCTAGGAATTCTTTCTGTAACTTTATCTATAATATAGTCTTTCAAGCACTCCAAGTAAGACATAAACACATCTGTAAAAGATGTCCATGGCACCCAATCAACAGACTTACCTCAAACTCCCTAATGAAATACCGTGTTTCTCCATGGATAACAGGCCGGTGATCCAACAGTCTACAATGGATCTCTCCAACATCTGTAAAATGAGTGTATCAATTAATAAGAGCATATTAAAGGGTCGTGGATATGTTCGTTTTTCCCATTCCTATCAAACCTACCCACGGTGCTGGTTTCACACTCCCTACACAGGGCCATTGTTTAACAAGCATTTTAAAGAATACATTTACTTTCACAATGAAATCATTTAAAGTTTAACTAAAGGCAAAACCTTTTTGGGAGGGGGGGGGGATAGAGTTGGGTGGGATTAGAACGCTTGCCAGGTGTTCTTCCGGTTTACAATTATTACCAAGTTAAAGGAAATCCCAAGTTTTCTGTTGTCACCAGAACAGGAATACATGAGAAATATTCAAATGGGGACACTAGTTCTGGTGCCCACTAGGAATTCCCTCACATAGGGATTTCCTCTCACTTTCTGTTTTAGCTATGGGACAGGAAACAAACAGAAAAAAAAAAAAACACCAGATGGGGTTGTAACCCTCCGTTATGTTATCCCAAATTAAAAGTTAAAAAAAAAAAAAAAAAAAAAAAAATAGTTTTGCCTTTAGTTCTACTTTTCATTTCCACCCCAATCCCCAGAATCACACCAAATGTCTAAGCTCCGCCAGAACCACATTAAGTGGCCAATGGGAGGCTCCTGCAAACTTTCCTAGCCAGTTCTTTACCTCTTTTGGCAGATCCATGGAAAAATCTCAATCAGTCCTACAGAGCAGCTGTTTAATGTGTACCAAACTATAGACAACCCCTCCATGGGAAAGAAATGGATTTTTCTACATGTCTAGAAGCAAGGGACCAGCCAGGGGAGTGAGCAGCAGGAAGGTGGCTGATCTCTGTAATCTCCCATGGGCCAATACCGACACATTACACTGTTGTCACTATTATGAAGCCCTCCCTTAGAAATGACATGCAGCTGACACCAGAGTGAGTGCACATAGACAGAAAATGGCTGCAATGAGGTTGCAGGAGATCAACAGCACTGCGAAGCAGAAAGTAATAAAATACAGAAAAATACAGGCTTTTCTGAAAGCACGTAACATGGCATTGTTTAATATACAGTGCTTTAATGAACTGAAGCTGACCCAGTTAGCGTTTATGGCTTAAATTTCTCATAATTCTGGAATAAAGAGAAGGTAATAAGTTGACAAATTTACTTCTTTAAAGCTCAACCTAAAGTTTAAAACTAAAAACTTTTATTTGTTTAGGATTGAATGTATAACTAATGAAACATCTGCCAGGCTTTTATTGTTTTCTGTGCCCCCATTGGTAGGGGAATCGTCTCACTTCTACTTTTCTTGGTGACCATGGTTATTGGGAGAAAAAAAAAAAATGGTGGGAGTCTAAAAGAGGAGAAGAAGAAGAAGAAGAAGAAGGAGGAGAAGGAGGAGAAGGAGGAGAAGGAGGAGAAGGAGGAGAAGGAGGAGAAGGAGGAGAAGGAGGAGAAGGAGGAGAAGGAGGAGGAGAAGGAGGAGAAGGAGGAGAAGGAGGAGGAGAAGGAGGAGAAGGAGGAGGAGAAGGAGGAGAAGGAGGAGGAGAAGGAGGAAGGAAGGAGGTCCTAAAAGGTGATCTCAGGACCTGTTCACACTACATGCTGTGACGTGCCCTTTACTGCATTAGATCAATGCTAGTCACCGCAAGGACATATACAAAATAATGGGATTTTTTGTTACCGTAAAATGCCTTTCTCGGAGTTAATTGATGGACACAGCCTCTCCTTATTCTTGACCATAGGGCTTATAGTGCCACCTACAGGAGTAGAACACTAGGCAGAAAAAAGAAAACTCGGCACTGCCTATGGACAGTCCTGGCTGGCATTAACCCCCTCTCTGCTATACACAATCCAGTTAGTTACAAGCATTGTCAAGCAGAAAGAGTCCAAAAGAGGGGTGGTGGGTGGGTGGGTGGGTTGTCCATCCATGAACTAAGTGAAAGGGATTTTACGTTGAGTAACAAAAAGTCCAGTTTTTTCTTTTTGTTCATTGATGGACTCAGCCTCTTATTCTTGACCATAGGGATGTCCCAAAGGAGTGCCAAAAAACACAGAGGGTGAGGAAACAAGAGCTAAAACTAGCCAACAAACCCCAGAAACAGGGCAACAGGAAACAACCACCCAAAAGGAACACCCTGCAAAAGGGACAAAAACACTGAAAACAGCCGCATGCAAAACCTGCACAACCAAGACATCAACCTCGAAATGAAGGAAAGACACCAACGGAGAACCACCTCAACCATTTGTAAGATCAAACAGCAAAGCCACCAGTTCCATCATCCTGCGCAGAGAAGTCATAGCCACCAACAGGCAACTTCTTGAGACAATGCGGGGCACAGTACAAAACCTAATGTTCACAAACAGAAGTGTCTGGAAGAACCAGATACCAGGCCCACTGTTGCAACAGAAAATGTATTGATGAAGCCATATGGAACCCCTGATTGAATGTCCAAATCAAATACTGCATGGCCAAGGGACGTTAAAAGAAAACTGCAAGGCCAGAAAAAACCTGCCATAGATAATACTGAAGGCAAGCTTTTGCTTTACTCCCACTCAAGAAGCCAAATCTAAGCCATAAGTGTAAAATTAGTAAAAACGAGGACAGACTCCCACAGCCCCGCCCATCCCACGAGATGAAGGCCTGCCAAGTGTGATGTTTGACCTTCTTAGAGAAATTTCCTTTCCTTGAGCATGGTAGAAAGCACCAACTCTGACAGCTTCTAGTCCTCCAAACTAGGCTGTCAAAAGCCAAGCCGCAAGCCAGTGACGATCATATGGTACGTCAGCCTACAATTATTCTAGAAGCCACCACGGTCACCAGAATCCCTCGGATACCAACCTAAACAGAGGCTGGAGAGGTGGGAAGGCATAAAAGGTGATGATACCGACTCCATATCCCACCAAGATATCGATCATGTCCGCCAAGGGATCCTACTCCAGTGACCACCTCCACCAATGCAGAGATACCCTGGCCTTCACCTGGGTGAACTCAGGCAGCCAAGGATGAGGGGGACGTATCCCACTTGGAAAAGATTTCCATCTGCAGGACCCTCGTGTAGAACTGCAAATACGGAACAGCCTCCATAGTAGACATCATCAGGCTCAGCTTGCCAAATTGCTCAGCTAAAGGCTCAGCTTGACAAATTGCCAATGGGGGCTTCCAAAACTTGTCCATCAGAAGAAAACATCCTGACCCGTGACAATCTAAAAGGTAGACCCAAATATTCAAAACATTTGGTCAGAGTCAGGGAGAACTTCTGGACGTTCAGGATCCATCCGAAGTCCACAGGGTGTGTAGTGAGGTCACCACGGTATCCAGCAGTGCCAGGGGAGATTCCACCCTCAGGGGAAATCATCCAGACAGCCATCACGGCAATCCCCTATCGTCTGAGCCAGGCCAGAGCCAGTACCTTTTAGAAGACCCACGAAGCAGAGGCAAGACTAAGGGGCAGCACCCACAAACTGATAACGTGCCACCTGCACTGCAAAACGAAGGGAGCAGCGGTATCCAGCGCAAACGGTCATTTGCCGATACGCATCCTTGATGTCTATAGTGGCCAGGAAATCACCCTGAGGAAAGGGGGCCACCAGCACCCGGCAGAATTTCATCTCGACTGCTACACCCTCATGTAACAATGCAGGTCCATGAGGTCCAGAGCAGGAGAGACTTCCATTCCTTCTTGAACACCATCAACAGGTTGGAGAGAAACTCCCAAAACCTTTCCAAGCTGTAACTGAAGCCATCATTCCCTGGGACAAGAGGTCCTGCACTGCCCATAAGGAGTCAGCAGGTAAAATGGGGAAGGCTGAAGAGGGGAAAGAAGAACCACACGGGGGATAGGAACAAAAATTGTGGACCCATGCGTCAGAGAGAAGTGGGCACTAAAGGGCAGGAAACCTTGAGCAATAGAGCCTGGGAAATGCAAAAGTCCCCAATGTGCAGTGAAGATCTCAAGCCTTCAATGCAGTTACTCCCATCTGGGCATGCTGGAGGAAGGTATTCTAGGCACCGGTACGATTCTGAAGGGAATTAGACCCCTGATGTTTCAATAAAGAGAACCTGTCACCAAAGGAAATTATCACATAGGGGGATTTGTATCCCCTATGTGATAAAGTGTGTTGCCGTTTCATGGGCACATGCAATTTTAAGGCTTGATATGTTGGGTATCCATTTACTTGGTGCACCCTCAAGGAACACCGGCCCACATGTTAAAGGATAAGTTCACCTTTATACAAAATAAATAAATACACTTTTTTTCCAGCTAAAGGAAAAAAAGTCAATTTATTATTTTTTCTTGCAGGAGCCTGTAAACCATTGCATCAGTGATGAGCTTTTTGCTGGTGCCATGCAGGTCTCCTGCAGATCTGGTAGTATATCTGACTGCCTGTACGGGATGTAGGGGCAAGCAGATATACTGACAAGAAGAATCTATAAACTACCACAGCGTTCCATTAGTTCATTGAGAACTACAAGCCAACAGCTGCTAAGGCTGTCGGGACTTGTAGTTTCTCATTCACAGAACACAGTTAAAATGTTACTAAACCCAGGTCCCTGCATTCACTATATCTGGTGTCCCACAGTACGCAGAGCATGCAATGAAATTATTTTAGTAAATATAAACTGCCAAATTCTTTTTCTCATCAGCAGTTAGAGCAGTCTTGTGACTTCTATCAGTGTTCAACTGAAAAGCTTGCAGGAGGAGTTTTCATTCTGCTCTAGGAGGATGCAGAATCCCTGACCTCTGTCCAGACAGTACTGATTGGCCCTGTACTGATCACTTCATTCTGCTTTAGGAAGTTGCAAATTTCCTGAACTCTGTCTGGACAGTACTGATTGGCCCTGTATCTCACTAGCAATACACACCAAACTGAGCATGTGCAGTGAATCCACACGATATGTGGATTTATGATAAGGGGAGAATTGGAGAAGTCAGGATCAGACAGCATTTTTACACAATGCAGAGGACTAACCCCTTAGGTACCACAGTGAGTATATCAAGCATGCGTTACTACATATACAATAGAAGTAATGATAATCAGTGCAAATATTAGACCAAAGCCTGAAAAGTCTAGTAGTATTTAGAAAAATAGTCCGGGTGACTTGGATAAGGGGGGGGTCCGTGTGGCACTTAGGGCAAGCTCCATGCATTACTGTAGCAGACTCTGTGTAGTAAGGAGAGAAGAAGCGCCTCTAAGTGCAGCAGACCACTTTAATATATAATAAAAAGTAGGAACACTCACATGGTAGTAGAGTAATAAAAGCATGTAGGGTATTGTGGTGTAGACATATCATGTGGAACGGCTGTCACTGGTGCCTGTATCGTCCGCGTCTCAATAGGGGAGCGTGGTTCAGGAGGGAGACAGATGTGGAGCCGACCAGCATGCATGTACTCCTAAAGATGGCGGCTGGAATGCATGCCGAACTGCAACGTCGACGCCTACACCCTACATGCTTTTATTACTCTACTAGCATGTGAGTGTTCCTACTTGTTATTATATATTAAAGTGGTCTGCTGCACTTAGAGGCGCTTCTTCTTCTCTCCTTGTTACAGCATATACAGACTGATTTTACTGTTGTTGGTTTAATGAGTGATGCGGCCGGGTGGGCGTTTTTGACAGCTGGCAAGGGGGGAGAAGATCCCCTGCTAGCTGTCAAAGCGGGGGCCAGTCTGATCATAACATGTTACGTTACACCGTGAATATGGCTGCAACACGTTATGAAAGGTGAACTTATCCTTTAGATCAGGCCCTTAGGCTTGGCTCACATCTGTGTGGGTGGTGCCGCTGCGGGACCCTCACAAATACCTGCAGCCGCACCACCCACACAGAGGAATGCGGGACCCATTAATTCTAATGGCATGCCACCCGCACTGGAAATCGCAGCCGTACAGAAACTTCGGTTCCCGTGCGGACTGCGATTTCCTAAGAAGTGCAGGGACTTCTTCTCTGCGCGTCCCGGGGCACGGGAGTCCATTCAAATGAATAGGCTCTTGTGCCAGCGCAAAACGCGGCCCGCACAACTGTGAACCTGGCCTATAAAGGATTTCCTCTTACCTGCTGCATCTCCAGGACAGGAAGTAAAGAGAACATTCCGCATGGGGGCAGCACCAGTAATAGACGCTGACAGGAGCGGGTAACCCTCCCACACTGACGACTTGAGGCCAATGTGTTCTACCACAGCACCAATGGCAGGACGTGTACCGAGTCACAGTGAACACATGGACATTCTCATACATCCCCCCTGCTCTTCCCTTGTCATACCCTTGGTAAGAAGTTGGGTTGCTGGTCCCACAGAATAGACGTTGTCCCGGGGTTTGGGGCTCGGCGTGACCGGAGAAGCGGCAGGTTTGGAAGGAGAAGTAGCACTCATCTTCCTGGAAGAGACAGCTGACCAGCATGTGACATGACCCCGTGTTCACTGGACACGGGATCTCCACACCGCTACCGCCGTGGGCCGCAAAACACACACCGTGATTGGATACGTGATGGAGGAGGGCCTAGCCAGCTGCGGCGTCTGATTGGTGAGCTCACATAGCACGCCTCCACGTCTTTCAGGAAGTGCTGTGTTCTATCATTCTGGTAGTGAGTTCACACGGGCAGGGGACGGGTCAGGCTGAGGAAGTGAGCACCGGGTTGTGCTGGGCCATGTTACCGCAGTGTTTACTAAATACCTATAGAGGAAACATGAACAGGGCTTGCTGAGCACAATATTATTAGCATGACAAGGGATTTTTTCCATCAGGAAGGAACATAGTTGTGACACTAATAGCACTGAATGTGTGCAATGACAAGGGATACTGGGGTGTGCTGGGGGATCTATTGTAGTCGGAGGGGATCTATTGTTTCTGGGGTGGAGGGATCTTATGTTGTTTGTGGTCAATTGTTGCTGGGGGGATCTACTGTTGAGGGAGAGGTCTATTGATGCTGGTTGCTGAGGGTCTGTTGTTGCTGGGCTAGTATGTTGTTGAGGAGGGTCCAATGTTGCTGAGGGAGTCTCGTTCTTGAGGGGATTTATTATTGCTGGGAGGTCTATTGTTGATGGGAAATCTATTGTTCCTGGGGGAGAGGGGTCTTATGTTCCCGGAGTCAGTTGTTAGGAGGGATCCACTGTTGAGGGAGAGGTCAACTGATGCTGGCTGCTGGGAGATCTGTTGTTGGTGGCTAGTATTTTCTTAAGGAGGGTCCAATGTTGCTGGGGGAGTCTATTGTTCTTGAGGGGATATATTATTTTTGGGGAGGTATATTGTTGGTGGGAAATCTATTGTTCCTGGGGGAGAGGGGTCTTAAGTTCCCTGAGTCAATTGTTGAGAGGGATCTACTGTTGGGGGAGAGGTGTATTGATGCTGGCTGCTGGAAGATCTGTTGTTGCTGTTGGGGGGTCTGCTGTTGCTGGGCTAGTATTTTGTTGAGGAGAGTCCAATGTTGCTGGGGGATATATTATTTCTGGGGAGGTCTATTGTTGTTGGTGGGAAAATTTATTATTGTTCTTGGGGGAGAGGGGTCTTATGTTCCCGGAGTCAATTGTTGGGAGGGATCTACTGTGGAGGGAGAGGTCTATTGATGCTGGCTGCTGGGAGATCTGTTGTTGGTGGCTAGTATTTTCTTGAGGAGGGTCCAATGTTGCTGGGGGAGTCTATTGTTCCTGAGGGGATATATTATTGCTGGGGGGGGTCAATGTTTTCTGGGGAGGTCTGTTGTTGGCAGAAAATCTATTGTTCCTGGGGGAGAGGGGTTTTATGTTCCCAGAGTCAATTGTTGGGAGGAATCTACTGTTGATGCTCGCTGCTGGGAGATATGTTGTTGCTGGGCTAGTATTTTGTTTAGGAGGGTCCAATGTTGCTGGGGGAATCTATTGTTCTTGAGGGGATATATTATTTTTGGGGGAGATCTATTGTTTCTGGGGAGGTCTATTGGTGGGAAATCTATTGTTCCTGGGGGAGAGGGGTCTTAAGTTCCATGAGTCAATTGTTGGGAGGGATCTACTGTTGAGGGAGAGGTGTATTGATGCTGGCTACTGGAAGATCTGTTTTTGCTGTTGGGGGGTCTGTTGTTACTGTACTAGTATTTTGTTGAGGAGGGTCCAATATTGCTGGGGGATATATTATTTCTGGGGAGGTCTATTGTTGGTGGGAAATCTATTGTTCTTGGGGAGAGGGGTCTTATCTTCCCGGAGTCAATTGTTGCTGGGAGGCATCTACTGTTGAGGGAGAGGTCTATTGATGCTGGCTGCTGGGAGATCTGTTGTTGCTGCTGGAGGTCAGTTGTTGCCAGTGTGGTATTTTGTTGCTGGGGGGTCCATCATTGCTGGGGGAGTGTATTGTTGGGGGATCTATTGTTGCTGGGGGAGTTAAATTGTTGCAAACTGGAGGGGATCTATCTTACTGTTTTTCATATTATTAAAAATTACTTCGCACCACAAAATGATACTTGGTTCTGATACTTGGTTGGACGTTGGGTAGGGGCGGAGACAAGGGGTGATGCAGAAAAGGGGAGTTCCTGCACCTATTCCCTGAGAAAAAAAAATCCCTGAGCATGAGGCGTTATTAACCGTACTTATTATTTCTTTTCACCATTCAATGTAAAGGACCACTAATAACAAAAAAAAAAAAAGATTGAATTCCAATAACAGTATGTGAGTAAATGACTGCTGTTGTCAGGAGAGTTGTTTTCATCACATTAAGGCCTCACTCACACAGGCACAATACAGCGCACACTCATGCAAGGGCCGTGTTTTGCCCACAAGGGGGTGCAATACATATTACAGATAGTCCAATTGAAGTCTCGCCAGCTGCTCCCATGTCGACATCTGTGCAGGTAGGTCGATGCTATCACACTGTTAGCATTTGGAGACCCACCCACATAACTGTCAAATTGGAGCAGCTGCTGTGTCGGGCAAATCTAGCTGATCTGGGGGTGCAGTAAAATAAGGGGGCGTAATGTCAATAGTGTGACAGAGATGCAGGGAGCCAGTATTCACTGTTCACTCGGCATGCTTCTGTCACAAACTGGAAGTAACATCTGGTGCAGTGCAGGAGTTAACAAGATTCACTAGTACAGTGCCTTGAAAAAGTATTCCTATCCCTAGAAATTTTCCACATTTTGTCATGTTACAACCAAAAATGTAATGTATTTTATTGGGATTTTATGTGATAGATCAGCACAAAGTGGCACATAATTGTGAAGTGGAGGGAAAATGCTAAATGGTTTTCAAATTTTTTTACAAATAAATATCTGAAAAGTGTGGCATGCATTTGTATTCATCCCCCATCCCCCTCCCCCGAACCATTACTTTGTAGAACCTCCTTTTGCTGCAATTACAGCTGCAAGTCTTTTTGGGGATGTTTCTACCAGCTTTGCACATCTAGAGAGGTTGCCCATTCTTCTTTGCAAAACAACTCAAGCTGTTAGATTGGATGAGAGCGTCTGGGAACAGCAATTTTCAAGTTTTGCCACAGATTCTTAATTGGATTTAGGTCTGGACTTTTATTGGGCCATTCTAACACATGAATATGCTTTGATCTAAACCATTCCATTGTAGCTCTGGCTGTATGTTTAGGGTCATTGTCCTAATGAAAGGTGCACTTTCACCCTAGTCTCAAGTCTTGCAGACTCTAACAGGTTTTCTTTTAAGATTGCCCTGCATTTGGCTCCATCCATCTTCCCATCAACTCTGACCAGCTTCCCTGTCCCTGCTGAAGAAAAGCATCCTCACAACATGATGCTGCCACCACCATGTTTCACGGTGGGGATGGTTTATACAGAATGATGTGCAGTGTTAGTTTTCTGCCACACATAGTGTTTTGCTTTTATGCCAAAAAGTTAAATTTTGGTCTCATCTGACCAGAGCACCTTCTTCCACATGTTTGCTGTATCCCCCCTCATGGCTTATCGCAAACTGCAAACGGGAATTCTTACGGCTTTCTTTCAACAACAATGGCTTTCTTCTTGCCACTCTTCCATAAAGGCCAGATTTGTGGAGTGCACAATTGTCCTGTGTACAGATTCTCCCACCTGAGCTGTGGATCTGTGCAGCTTCTCCAGAGTTACTATGGGCCTCTTGGCTGCTTCTCTGACTAATGCTCTCCTTGCCCGGCCTGTGTGGACGGCCTTGTCTTGGTAGGTTTTCAGTTGTGCCGTACTCTTTCCATTTTTGGATGATGGATTGAACAGTACTCTATGAGATGTTCAAAGCTTAGGATTTTGTTATAACCTAACCCTGCTTTAAATGTATCCACAACTTTATCCCTGACCTGTCTGGTGTGTTCCTTGGGCTTCATGATGCTGTTTATTCACTAATGTTCTCTATCAAACCTCTGAGAGCTTCACAGAACAGCTGTATTTATACTGAGATTAAATTACACACAGGTGGACTCTATTTACGAGTTAGGTGACTTCTGAAGGCAATTGGTTCCATTCGATTTTAGTTAGGGGTATCAGAGTAAAGGGGGCTGAATACAAATGCAGGCCACACTTTTAAGAGATTTAATTGTAAAAAAATGTTGAAAACCGTTGACCATTTTTCTTCCACTTTGCAATTATATGCCACTTTGTGTTGGTCTATCACATAAAATCCCAATAAAATACATTTATTTTTGGTTGTAACATGACAAAATGTGGAAAATTTCAAGGGGTATGAATACTTTTTCAAGGCACTTTATGTATAAGGCTATCTTTAGATTAGGATGATTAAACAGAACATGTGTCCCCTTATATCAGGTGTCCCTATCAGAGTCCCCCTTACATCAATCGCCCCCATTAGAGTGCCCCCTTACAACCACTGCCCTCATTAAGTCTCATGGATTAGTGGATACATTCTCAGAGAACTGTAGGGGCACAACTTAATTTTTGAGGAGTACAATCCACCCTAGCCCCCCCCCCTCCTTAGATCCAGGCGTGTGATGCGTCCCCAATGGACATGAATGGGAATGCATGCACAGTGATGCACAGAACACTTGGGCATCCCTGCATGGTCAAACACAGCTCTTACACAGGTATGCTAAAGCTCCCGCACTGTGATGCTCTGAGTATCAATCAATGGCCATTTTCAGTGGCTAGGCCAAGTTGAGATTGGTGTTGCGAAATTCTAAATTGAGCTGCGCATACTCAACTCACTGTACAGTGCGGGCAGGCAGGTAAGACACTTTCATGCAAAAGAGACGGGATGATTTACTAAAACTGGAGAGTGCAAAATCTGGTGCAGCTGTGCATGGTAGCCAATCAGCTTCTAACTTCAGCTTGTTCAGTTTTGCACTCTCCAGTTTTAGTAAATCAACCCAATAGTATATCGCTTCTAAATTTAAAATCTTGCTTAGCTACAATTCTTTTTTAGGTTAAAGTATGCAATCTGCAATTTGCAGTGGATATAAAAAG